TCAAAGGAAAAGATGTCCCACTCGAGCTGTTTGAAGCAGGTGGGGTCTACTCAAGCCTTCCTGTATTGCCCTAGAGGTAAAGCTTATGCAACTGGAGGAGCCTGTAAACTGTATGAAACCATCAGCTCTCACGGCTGCTCGATGCCTTTGCTGTTTAATAATGTTCTGGCAAACTGATCTTCCGGCTTCCACTGCTAGGATAGATGCCCACGGGCAATGGCATGAGAAGCCAATTCCAAGCCCTGGCCATTTACTTGTTTTACTCATTCCTCCACGTAGTGAAAGTTTTTGTGGATAGGGACTCGCTTGGCTCAGTTTGGTGCAATATTTGAGAGGGAGCCTAGACGCCAAGCCTTCACTGAAGAAGTGCCTGCTGAGCAGTAATTCCCGCTTCTCTGGGCCCTTAGAAAAAAGCCAGGCAATGTAGCCGGTGTCCCTGGTGCTTAGAAAACAAGACAAAACTAGGTGTTCGGTCCTGCTTCCTGAAAACACTTGACTAAGTTTGATGCAGGGCAATACGAGCCGGAGCTCCTTCCAGAAACCTGCAGGGGCTGATCATGAGAATCGATCGGTATTTTTCCTGAAGTTGCCTCAGGTTTAACCTGAAATCCTTGCTCTCAAGACACCAGTTCTTAGGATCAGAGATGGGCACTCCTCTTCACCCATCTAAAAGGGAAATATCTCTTCAGTTCCCCTAAGAAGAGGAAAAACTCTTAAGGGTACCATTCAGCCAGCTCATCCCATGTGCTCGGAATCAGCTCCTAAGAGTGGAAACATCAGCACTACCTAAACAAGGAAAGATCATAACCACTGCCACATGGAACTGAGGTTTCTATGCCCACTGCCCTCCCTTTGGCATATGAAGTGTTGTGGTTTCATTTCCCCCTGAGTTTGCTTATATATGATAAAAAAAAGGAGGACGAGGCAGTTACACCAGGCATAGGAGGGAGAATCCACCGGTACCAGGTCGGGGGACTATTTCTGCTTCAGAGCTTGAATATGCTCCCGCAGAGAATCAGTGGTTAGGGGGGAATGTACGTTGACAAACATTGGTCTTGACAACCCAACCCAGCTGATGTGGCTCCAAGCATTTGTCTCAGTGGCATCAAGGCCGTGCCAGGGCACCAGCAACTAGGATCTGGCCCCAGCTTCTTCCTGGTATGCAGAGGGAGCCTGAAGGGAGTGTATCCAACGAGTTTTAAACGGCTCCAGACAGGCAATCGCCTAAAACTGGAGTGGCCAATCTGAGGCTCCAGAGCCACATGCGGCTCTTCAGAAGTGAATATGCGTCTGCTTGAATCTTTGCACAAGGACATGGTGACCAGCTTCCACATTTGGAAGGTGGCTACCGTGTCCTTGTGCAAAGATTCAAGGACATGCATACTAATTTCTGAAGAGCCGCGTGTGGCTCCGGTCCCGCAGGTTGGCCACCCCTGGTCTAAAATAAGAGGCTTGCAAGGGTCGGTATCGAAGTGGAGGGGCTGGCATTTCTGTCCCTTCCTCCTGGACAGAGAGAGACATTGGCGTGGCTCGGGTAAACCCGGACAAAGTCTGATGAAACCTATCTGGCTGTGACGGGCAGCAACAGCTGGATACCGCCGCTGCCTGCCGGCCTGGTCTCCTAGTCCCTATCTGAGCAGCTGAGCGCCAGCTGCTGAAGCTTTGACCAGGGGACCTGCGGGAGCAGGGAAACAGCGGGGGAGGGGGACTCATGTATTCCCCGTCTCTCCTCACTTCCAACCATGAGGACGTCCCAGCTGAAGACAGCACCAGCTGGCGCTGATCGTGGTCCTGCAGGCCTGCGGGCTGCGGCGCAGCACTGCCCCGCGCCCCGACCCCAGCCATGTGGCTACGCACAGGTGGGCAAGTGCTTAACTTCCTTGCGAGGGCCCTGGGGATGGGGGTTGGGACCTTAGGGTTTAAGCAGCAGCGCAACCCTCTGCACATACACGCCAGCGCGTGTTTCGGCTGGCTGGCCCGCTTGGAAGTGATCAGGCCCGGCTTCTGCTGTGAATTTAACAGACCATGACAACGGAAGGGTCCTATCTATGATCTCGTATTTCTGCTTGCGTGTAGCAAAGGAAGAGAAGGTATGAGCTTCTGACTCGACACCATGGGGATAATTAAGAAAGGCTATTCTGGCCTCGATCTCTCTTCTAAGTCTAGACCCAGGTTTCACCAGCCCCAGCAGCAGGGCTACGATTCCAGTATCGCTGCGCCTTCCTTCACTCTCAGCAGCAAATCCTGAACATCGCAGGTGCAAGCCTGGGGCTTATCCCTGGACAGCTGCTCTGAAATAAGAAGAACCGGGCTGGCTCTTTGGCTCCCAGAAAACACGATCCTTTCCACCTGGCCTTGCTAGGCGGGGGCCAAAGTAGCTGCTAGGAATGCAGGCAGACACGGCGCTGTGCAGCTGGACGAGGGAGGTGAGGGCAGGTTGATGTAATGCAGCCAGAGAGTTAATTATTCTTTTTGATCCCCGGCGCTGGGAGAAAAAAATAAGTCTCGGCCTGTGACAAGTCACACAGGCGTTCGGCTTTCCAGTGCCCTTGTTAAAAGGTAGCTTGAAACAGAGGGAGGGAGGCTGACAGGACTAGTGACTAGTCCCAACAGTGACAGGAGCCGTGGGAAGGACAATGCGAGCCCAATGTGGTTCATTTGCACAGTGGGGAGGATGGGGCTGGAGCTCTGGCAGCTACAAGCTCTCCCCTGTTGCCATAGCGCTGCCGGCTGAGAAGGAAGAGAGGGGGCTGCCTTCTGAAGGGGATCTCCTCAGACACTGCCTTGTCTCCCGCAAGGGAGCAGGGACAGCTCGGAGTAGCAGGCAGCCTGATGGGCTCTCCTATTGCCCCTTAAAATAACTTAGCCATCTCCTTTCTCAGAATTGTCATCCCTTTCCTCCCCACACCCCTTCTCTCCCAGGCGATCTAATCCTCTTGGAAAGGAGCTGAACTTTTCCACAAAGAACTATTCCTGAACTAGGGTGAAAACCAAGGTCTGTAGCAATGGCAGGCACGTGCAACAGCCCGGGAGGGCAAGACAGGGAGCCCTCTTCCCCCTTACTGCTGGGAGTCCACTTAAAAGAAGCAACTTTGGTGCCGCAAGGGCAGAGGTGGAGACGGAGGGGTACTTTTTTAAGCAAGGAAAAAGCATGAAGCGGGTTTCTAGTTTGCTACTACACATGGCCGTGAATGGCAAGCACGAGTGAAAGCCCTAAACCGACTGGATGTCCAGGAGAGAGTTTAGGGAAGGAAGTTAGCGAGAAAAATCCATTCTGCACGGCCGAGTGACAGCCCTTCGGGGGAGAGGCTCCCTCCTTCTGCTGCGAGCTCCAGATTATTGTTTTCCTCATCTTCAAATAGTGGCTTGATCGGTGACATCCTAGTGAGCATTGCAGCGAGGAGGCGAAGAGCAAAGCGGACAGCTTATCTCCTACCGGAGGTGGGGGTGGGAAAGCGTGTTTCCATAGCTGCCCCTGAAAGCCAAGCGAGCTGGAAAGATCCCCCTGCACAGCAACGACTAGGAACCTGTCGCACAGGCACAGCTGGACCGCGCCAGATTACCTTCAGCTCTGGCACTCATCTCGCAGCAACGCCTACGGAGCGGCTTCAATGCAAAATAAACTCCGCAATGATATATGGACCCGTTTAGCCGTGTCCAAAGGAACAAGCGTTCCTGAAGATGGTTGCTAAGAGCAACGTGCCTTAAGCACCACCTTTAGACCAGATGGAAGCAGAAGAAAGTGCTACTAGGAATTCAGCACCCGAGATCAATAACAACCCGGAGACTTTAATCACCTCCCCCCCCCACCACCACACACCTCCTCCTAAACGTGATTTAAACAAAGAAAGAGCAAGACATGCAGCGTTTTCCTAGGCAAAAGGGAGCTTTCAGTGGCGAGTACCATTACAATGCTACAATAGGGAACGCACTATAGGCATGGGAAAGAATAGCAACTCCTACACACCTCGCGGACTGGCACAGAGGGGGCCGTTTCTTCGGCCGAACAACTTTTCCCGTGTGTGCACTGTCTGCACACCCAACCCAGGGCACTTTAGCTATTCGGCTGGCGGATCTGTGCCCTGTCCCTAGCCCCACCACTGTGGCTCTCACCCACTTGCAAGAACTTTTCATACCCAGGTCTGCTCCAGTGACAAGGAACAGTCTGGTCCGTGACGAGTTGTCTTCAGCAACTCTCTAGCCAGGATGCTTTCTCACAGAAGTTTCACGCTCAGTTTTTAAAGCTAGTTTCCAAAAGATACAGGAGGGGGAAGGGAAGCTCTTTGAGCTGGGCGACCAATATGTTTTCCCTTGAAATGTGCACGGCCCCGCCTGTGGTTGTCCCTGGCTCTTTTTGTCTTACAAGGGGAAAAAATAATGATCCATTCCCGCTCGCCGCTTAGAAGCGCGTTTTTGTGTGTCAAGAGTTCTTCCGCGTTGACTCCTTTGCATTCAGCTAACAGTTTACAAAGCATCTGTTCCATCACAGCCCAAGCACCAGGAAAGGTGCCACTAAAGACGTTTCAAGGAAATCGGAACTAAAGGTCCCTTGGACAAGGTTGGATCCGCTCGGACACTCAGCCTCGGAGGGCCATAGAAGGGGAGAAGGCGAGTGAAACTTAACAACTAGTTGTCGGATCTTAACTAATCAACAGCTATTTTAGCCGCGTTTTCCACTGCTATGGAAACAAACAGGCACTGTACCAGGGAGCCACGCAAGCTCTGATCACTCTGCAGAACCCTCACCAAACACGCTCGCTTGCCGGTCATTGTCCCCATTATTATCCCCCTCCTCCTCCTTCTCATCATGATACAGCAAACTGCCTCGACACACAAACACGCTGTTTCAGCCATCCGGATGCAAAATACAGAAGGACTCGGCGCCTGACTCCAGCAGCAGCAGCAGCAGCAGCTCCCAGCTCTTCCCCAGCAACCCTCCTTCTGACACAATCACACGAATACAATATTCAGCACCATGCAAAAGTGTCGGGAAATCTTACCGAATCTTAATACATGTGTGGTTCCTTGAGAATATCCAATCCACAGTAAGCAAAGAAGGAGTCTAATGGTGCATCTGAAGACTGGATTAGTTAGAATCGGGAAAATAATCTTCATGGTGTTTCTATGCACACGCGCTGCCTTACTTCCCCCTTCTAAGCGTCAGGCTCCCCGGTAGGGTAAGGCTGAGAAACGTAAACTGATGGCCCTCAGACACGATCACGGCATGGTCACAGAGAGAGGAGAGAGTCTACGCTTCCCAAACCCATTAGCAATCCCTGCATGTTCTTCATTCACTGCGCCAAGGAGCAACCTTCAACTGCAAGGAATGGTGGGACATCCATGTTAGTCGGGGGAGAATCCTTGAGAAATCCAAACACACACAATGTCCAGCCGGGTGAACCTGGGAGGCAAGAAAGGAGGAAAATCAATAGGTAATCCAGCTTGAGAAATCGCTGAGGTATCGCCACATAGCGAGAGTCAATGAGCACCAGGCGTTTTACTGGCGAAGCTTTTGCTGTGCTCCCATTCTACTGCACTGCTGCACAGCTTCTGACGTGAAGCCAAGATTAAGTGAGAGAAATTGAGATAGCTCTTCTCTTCTTAAGGCTGCCTGCCAGACAGCTTTCCCTATTTCTATTATGCAACCGATCTGATCGCCTACCGTTTTTGAAAAACCAACTCGGGTTTATTTACGTGCCTAAAATTATTATTTCTATTTTTTTTATTTGGTTTCAACAATAGCTACCGGTATTTCACTGCAAAGAGTCAGCTTTGGACAGGGGGTGCGGTTCTCCAAAAATCAATTCATGAATTTTAATAGCTGACTAGCTGGGTCGAAATCACTTAGCCTTGGAGTTGTGGAAGAGGACGTGTTGCAAAGGCTGACAATAAGTCATGTAGGGGATCAGACTGTGATTTGGGTTTAGAAAGGTCCCGATATTTCCACTCACTTTCTCTTACTTGTGCACCTGAGGCATGCATTTACGTAAACACGATGGTCTGTGTACTGGCTGTCTTTAGCAAGTTGCACCGGACTGACTGAACATCCAGCTTCAAAGTAAAGCGGAAATTGTAGTGCTTTAAAAAAAGATCTACTGGTGTGGAATTGACAGACCTTCATTTTCACGTCGCTCACTTACTTGAAATTACAACGCTGTTTGAAAGGCAGAATGATGTGTGTATTTGCATGTGTTTATATTCTGATTCTCTCTTTTACACTCAGCTCTCCATACAGTGTGGTATTCTGATAGTGTTCCTATCGTCACTTGCATTGAGACCTATGGTTACCATGGAACTGTAACCTAAGCACATTTACTTACGTTACTATCTTTACTAAGAGCAATAGCATTTGCCAGTTTGCGGCTGGTGCATCCAGTTTTTATCCAAAACTGCAACAATGTACTTTTCTCTTTCAACTAGATTAAGGTGTAAGCACTCTTTGGAATAGTTCAGATTTTGCTTGGAAAAGCCATCAAGATATTTTTAATCGGGTATTTGCATCTCTGTGCATTCATCAAAACACATTGTAAAAAGTCTCCGTCCCTTTTGGACCAACCGGAGAGTAAAGCTTTTACTGGAGCTATTTGAGTTTTATTACTAATATTAAAAGATAATCCCTAGGACCCCACAAGGAAAATGAATGCAGATTAATCTATATTCTTCCTGGCTATGCATCATCTCTTTATTGCTGGAAAAAAAACTATCAGTGAGAGAATTTTTTCCATAAACGAAGACAACACAAACTTGGTTTCACAGAAATTAAATGATACCAGCCGGAAGAAACATACTATAGAAGTGTAGCAATAGAGACGTGGGTTATGGTTAATTCTTAAGAAATATACACAGAGCTTGGATATGCAGGATAAATTATATTACAATTGGATTTATTATCTATAATCTTAGTGATACATTCCCTTTAAAGTCTTAGCAATTCACAGTAACTTTCGAAGGTTAGGGCTGACTGATTTTTTTTCTCCTGACTGTATTTACTTAAGATATGGTAAAAGGCTGATGAAGAGAAATTTATATTCTGCGATAGGATTATTAAACGCCATTGATTTTTTCTTTAAGATGGAGGCATAACTGCAGTGTCAAAAATAAGTATCATGAATGGCTAGTTCTGCAGTCTAGCAAGCAATTCAATCAAATGATTTGACTATTGGAGCACTTTAAAAGAACACCTAGTGTTAGAATCAAGGATATCTAGCGACTCCTTCAGTTCACACTTAGAATATCTCCTAGGAAAATGTACAGTCTGAGATGTTCTTTCTTTGTATGTGGTGTTTCATCCACTCTGTTCTACTTTTTCATACTTTATCTTAGTCCAAAGGGAAACAGAGCTGACCTCCGTTATAACTACGAGCAATTTTAATTTGTCAACAGATCAGATATCCTTACATACACGTTTTGTTATGCATGCTCAGAGCGTAGCATTCTGGGTCCCTGATTTTTAGAGCAAGTTTGTGAATTGTTAAAATCCATTGTCCATGTTAGCACAGTTAACAATAGATTAAAATAAACTTATACCTTGGGGCAATCTGACTATTTTAACCAGTTATTATTCACACTGATATTCTAAATTACCCGGGAAGTATCCAGCTCTCCGTAAAAGAGGAACAAAACTCCCAGCACACCAAGGCTCCTCTGCAGTAATTGAAAACAATCTATCAGCAATGCTTTTGATCGTTAAATACCTAGCATTCTACCGTCCAAAACATGTACGCATGCATAATGCTCAAGTTAATTTTCCTTTCACTCTTAATGACGGTCTATTACTGACCTGGAAAGCAAAAACCACCACGGACAGCGGCTGGAACTGTCGTGCTGAAACGGAGTAGAGCTAAAGAGCTGTTACTTTTCAGCACCACGGAGAGCACCGCTCAGTCACTGCGCAGCACTGGTGGTGAGATGTAGTACGGAAGCAATGTATCATTTTAGGTGTCAAAACACATTTTTTCCCTCCAATAGTTTCTTACTACCTAAAGGAAATTAAAATATTGTATCCATTGTTTTAAAGACAGCGGCTCTTTTCCTTACTAGATTGGCTGGCCTGTGTCTTTACTGATAGTTCATAGGATCGCTTTGGAGTACATAATATCCTACCGTACAATGTCTAGAGTTTTATTAAGCTATATCCCCCGCTCTCAAAGAAAGGTGGTGGTTAAGCCAAAAATGCTTTCATCAGCATCAGTCATTCCTCTCTGATAAAGGCCCCCATTTTCTTAGACATCTGAATATTCAGTGAGTCCTATCTTTGATAGCTAAAGACCATTTACAATATATACAATTAGTTGAAGACTTAAACTCCACCACCTTCAGATCCCCTTCTGTTAAGAGGTACTCAGCTTCACTTCTCTCTTCACAACATACATTTCCAAAAGAAAAAAAGAAAACTTTTTTCCCTTTCTAAAATAATCTAGCATAAAAACTGAGCGATACCTCCTAATATGCTTCTTCCTAGTAGAGTACACATTTGAAAGATTGAGGCAGCTAATGAAATAGTATTTCGCGCAGGAACCTGCTAGAGCCTTTATAGTGCTTGTAATTCCTGATTTTCAATTCTTTTCAGGCGCAGGGCTATCTGATACTGGTGCTGAGTGGGACTCTGGCCTCCTCATCCCAGTTATCAGACCCAAAAATAGGAATATTCAATTCTCTGTCAAACATTGTGCTTTTTTCTACACCTTTGCACTTACAGTCTTGTAGCAATATATTGCGTGCGCTCGCTCGCTCTCTCTCTCTAAATATATATATACATTGCTGCCAGATAATATATATAAATTATACTGTGTAATATAATATATATTATACAAAAGCAAAACACACAGGTGAAACTGTTAGAACTAAAAAAAGGAGCAGAAATTGCCTGAGGCCATACAATATTGGCCGGCAAAAGTCTAGTAATTGCCTGTGAATGTGTGTGTCCACTGCATATAACGTAAATTATGTAAAAAGGGTGATTTGGATTCATCTTAAGAGTACATTTAACGTTTCCGATTCCTGTACCAGGTACTGTCTTCTTCAGCTCATAAATGTCCATGTCCTGTTATCATACTAAAAGTTAATCTAGTTCCAGTTAGCTGCCACCTGCTGGGACATATATTTTTACCATGACACTTTTTTTAAAAGAGGAAAAGCTTTGGATTTTCCTGCCGTAGCTACAGATCTACGAACTGGCTACATGACTTGCACCATGGGCATCACATCCCTTAACTTCTGATATTTGCCTCTTCCAAGAATAAATGGGAGGAAAAGAAGGGAGAGATAAATTTAGAGCCTGGCCTATATGTGACATATGGTCCCTGAAGCTTTGTTTCTTGGCCATTTTTTCGGCAAATCCTTGCAAACGCCTCAGAGTTGCCTGCCACCAGGATCCTCCTGCTGTTGCAATCTGGTGCTCACTGCAACACCTGAGCGACCTCTCCAGATCTGGAGACGGGAGAATTGCAGCTCTGCTGACAAATCAGGAACCCAGTCCTCCCCACCCCCCAACCCCCCTTAAACGTTTGCCAAAGTGCTCAAATGAATGTTGATATTATCAGTTAAAAACACATTGCGGCCCACTTGCACTCCACTCCCACAAGCTATAAAAACGACCGGTTCCCCTCTGCCTGTTATTAGCCCAGTCCAGATTTACAACCAAGTTTCTGCTGCGCCCGTGATGGATGACATTTGAAGATGGTAATTAATTTTTTAGCTCCTGGAAAGACGCGCAGCCTAATTAACGAGCTACGACCGCTTATAGATTCACTTGCTCAGGCACTTTCGGACTTCACGGCAACGCACGCACAACCTCGCAGGTTTGGAAACAGAGAAAGCAAACATTTACGACTTGGCTCATAGATCCACTCCCCCCCGCCCCGACCCCCTA